TACCCCTTTATCACCAAAAGAAGACGAGTATAGAAAATTTAACAAAATCGTTTATGAACCTAATTCAGCATATCCATATTATATATCTCCAGGAGATCATATCTACCCAAGAATGATAATTATGAAAGGAGCAGATCCAGTAATGACCAAGGTTGCAACAGACTTCGGATATACTAATCTAATCTATCCAAGTACAACATTAGAAGAAATAGAGAGATTTGATGATATATTAAAGAGTCAAGTTTCACAATTTGTTCAGAATAGACCAATATATATGAAATTCTACTCCATAAGTCCAGAAGTTGAAGATGAAATATACTATCCAGCAGAACATATAATTACAATCAGACATGTTGGAAGAAATTTCCAAATGGATATAGGAGAAGGTGAAAAACCAGTTCCAAATTTTACCAGAGCACGGATAAAAAACAGACGGGTACTAGGATATAAAGTTCTATACAATATAGCAAAAACTTTGTATGAACGAAAATTCCGATGCCTATACCAATACAATGGATGGACAATTTTAGCAAATGATGGCAAACAAAAATCTGAAATTTTTAAAGAATATATTACTAAATTTGATATACATCAGATAAGTGGCAGCATCTCAACCATCAAAAGGGCATGCAAAGCTAGAGTATGTCCCACTTGCCAACAAAATAAAAAAGGAGATTCCAAAGAGATAAGGAGGATGTGAAATAAAGAAGACAGCTTCATGTAAAGACAACATCTTCAAGAAGATGTGATATAAAACAGCTGCATGTGAAGATTATAATGGAGGGGGGTAAGCTCTTGATAGAAAAGCACAAATTAAGTGCTATATGATGTAAGGACTGATGTAAGAGGCCAAAAATTTTTGCCTTAATTAGATGTATAAATAAAGGACTTCGGCCTAAATGTAAGGCAGAACGAATTGGAGCACTCAACTTGTGAGAAAGCCAAAAGAAACCTTCTATCAATCTTGTATCAATTTCAAAGATATCAATACTACCAATTTGGATAAAATTATTCACATTCCAATCCTCTTAAAAGGAAATGAGTTTCTAAATTACTTTTCCGATATATTTTTAAAAGATTGAGGAAGAAATTTCTTTCTTACTTTAGCAAAAGAGAGTTTTCTTTATTTAAGATTTGTAGTTTTAATTTTTGGAAAAGATACAGTGACAGCAAAATTTAGAATAGCAAGGATCTCGTGAAAGGGAATAGCTTGCAGATCCAGAAGCTTGAAAGTCACTCTATTCTGAAAATAAAAGAAAGATCAAAACTAAGGTAAAACTATTGTTTTTGTTAAATTTGGTAAGAATTCTTCTAAGATCTTAAAGAATCGT